TTGCCAGTAAGTCGTACAAAATGACTGATTTGGAGTTTTTTTTTAGGTGGATCTACAATAAAATAATTGTATTTTGTTCCTTTTGTTATTAGTTTGTGTCGAACAATAGTGTTCATCATAGAATCGTTTATTTTTTAAATAAAGATGATAATATTCCACCATATAATGGGTAACAATTAACGATCTTAGTTTATCGATGCCTTTATTAACAGTAAATAGCTTGCTAAGTAAGATTAGAATGTTAGTTTGTGATTGTTCTACTTATTCAATGATATTCATTTCCAGTCGATATGTAATGAAAAAACGATAATTTTAACTTGAAGTATCGAGCCACACTGAACCCAAGCTAGTGCAGTGAGTCAACTAATACAAAACGTCGATACTTTTTCTGTCACCAAAGCCCCGAACCATCCCCAAACCCATTTAGTGTAATCATCACCATTTTATCAATAGCTACCAATACCTACTTATTTGCATGCCAGCATTCATAAAGGTTTTATCATACCCACTTCCAGTATTGGCTTTCGAACTGGGGGTGAGGATGTTGCATACTCTTTTTTCTACCTTTTTAGGGTTCCGTATCTCAAAAGGTAAAAACGAAATCCCTAAGCGAAATCCTTATAGGATCACTTTGTTGGCCGTCTGACTGTCTGTCGGTCTGTCGGTCTGTCAAGACCCTTTATCTCAGGATCGCGTAAAGATATCGAGTTGAAATTAAAACCATATACCTACTCAAGTCTATAGTCGCTAGTAGTTGTTAAAAAATAAAGCTCATAACTTAAAGTTAAAAATGTTTTCTGTTTTGTAGAAATTTTCCACAAGATAGTAATTTTTTCCACAAAATAGTAAACATTCACAAATCGGAAAAAGCTCCATCTCTTGTCAACTTGTACATACGTAATGTTGTCAGTTGAGTGACTGTATAGTTCTACTAAAAAATGACATAGATGGCGCTAAGCTACCCGTAAGTAGTCAAGTGACAAAAATATATATGAACGAAGCAAGTGGATCACCTTTTCGCCGCCTGGGCTAGAGCCTCCGTGGTGTAGCGGTCAAACACGTCTGACCCGGCTTGTCAGAAGACGTGGGTTCGAATCCCATCGGTGGCGTGATTTTTTTCCGCTTGCTTCGTTTGTATTAACTTTGTAACCAAAAGTTAATAAAGTTAAAAAGATATAGCCGTTTATACCGACCGTTTATGCTGAAAAACGGATGTTTTTTACCCTCTCAAAGGAATCAAAATTTGGAGGGTATTCTCCCTACATATAGAACGATGAAATTTGGCTTGTAGCTGATAAATAAATATGATGATGATGATGATGATGATGATAAGGGCAGGAAGAGAACAAAATTAAAAATTTGGCTAGTTGTCCAAGTGGAGTATCATCCTACTAATCCTACTAATATTATAAAGGCGGATGTTTGTGTGTGTGTTTGTTACGACATCACGCTAAATCGGGTGATTAGATTGACATGAAATTTTGCACAAATATAGAAGAGTATCTAGAATAACACATAGGCTACTTTTTACCACGGGAAAATGTCTTGTTCCTACGGGATCACGCATATTCCAATATTTTTGCAAAGGTGGCGTGACTGAGCCGATTCGCGTTTTAAAAGTTTTCGCCGAAAACTAACAGCGACATCTCTTGGCGAGTAATGCTTTTTTAGTAATAATAATATTTGAATATTTGTTTTCTTACTAAAGGTGCTGTCAGTGATGCTGTCACCTTTACTTTTGAGAACTCTAATTACACCAAAAATAGTTTTTGTAAATAACTTAAAACTTATATAACCAACTGTGAAAAAAATAGTATTTCCTATAGGTACAAATTAGGTACTAAATATGTACAGGGTCAAAGTCTGAAAATTCGAAATATAAGTACTTCTTCTTGCAATTTTTGAAATCGTCATAATGGCGGGACCAGCACTTTTTTCGACTATTTCTCAGACTACCTTTGAACTAATCAGAATCAATTAACGTTTTCTTTAGGTGCTAAAAAGGTACTAAATATACATACAACTGAATATGATCTGATCTTAGGGAATATCACTTCTCCTAATAAATATTTCATTTCTCCTAATATAATATTTCAGGTGTTTATTTTTTTTGTTCATAAATTATTTTTATTACACATTTCATATTCTTGTGGTCAACACCATTTTGAGTAGACTTTTACAAATTAATGGAAAGTCAGGTATCGATATTCTCAATCCCAACACTAACTTCATTTGACAGCTTTACCTCTCCCCCCGCAAAAAATGGCAGAAATATTTGTATAGAGTAAAGTAGCTATACCCACTCCCCTTCCGGGCCGGGACGGAAGATCGAGTTGCTCGAAGGATAAAGCACGTCATATGATTCTGAGCAAATTTGAATCCAAAAAATATGACATTCGTGTCGACCACCTTCTTAGTTACCTTGACTGAGATTCCGGTTATTTCTAGTTAAAATGAGTGAGCATCTAAATCGTCGCTAGTACTAAGTGAGCCATCTGTATAGGCGCCTCGCTGTAACGTTCTTCGTGGCGTGACTTCAGGATAGGTGAGTGTAGTATAAACTCATGATAGACATCATAGCGAGCCCTACCTGCAGTTTCCACGGTCACCGCGACGCGGTAACGTTCTTCGTGGCGGTGCCGGGCGCGGCTGGGTCCCCTGCTCGCACGCCCGACTCCGCGCGCCGCTCCCCCCCCGCACACCCGCCCATGCTCGTCATCTCCGGCGGGGAGGGGTACATCGACTTCAGGATAGGTGAGCGCAGTGTACACTACACATCACTGGGAGTCCTACTAGAGTGCCCGACACGCTCTTGGCCCGATTAGACCCACTTTCTACCTACTAGAGTGCCCGACACGCTCTTGGCCCGATTAGACCCACTTTCTACCTACTAGAGTGCCCGACACGCTCTTGGACCGATTCGACCCACTTTCTACCTACTAGAGTGCCTGACACGCTCTTGGCCCGATTAGACCCACTTTCTACCTACTAGAGTGCCCGACACGCTCTTGGACCGATACGACCCACTTTCTATCTACTAGAGTGCCCAACACGCTCTTGGCCCGATTAGACCCACTTTCTACCTACTAGAGTGCCCGACACGCTCTTGGACCGATTCGACCCACTTTCTACTTACTAGAGTGCCTGACACGCTCTTGGCCCGATTAGACCCACTTTCTACCTACTAGAGTGCCCGACACGCTCTTGGACCGATACGACCCACTTTCTATCTACTAGAGTGCCCAACACGCTCTTGGACCGATTCGACCCACTTTCTACCTACTAGAGTGCCCGACACGCTCTTGGCCCGATTAGACCCACTTTCTAGGCGTGACTTCAGGATAGGTGAGTGTGGTATAAACTCATATTAGACATCATAGGGAGCCCTACCTGCAGTTTCCACGGTCACCGCGACGCGGTAACGTTCTTCGTGGCGGTGCCGGGCGCGGCTGGGTCCCCTGCTCGCACGCCCGACTCCGCGCGCCGCTCCCCCCCCGCACACCCGCCCATGCTCGTCATCTCCGGCGGGGAGGGGTACATCGACTTCAGGATAGGTGAGTACAGTGCACACTACACATCATAGGGAGTCTTTCTTACCTGCAGTTTCCACGGGACAAATAGCGAGTGGAAACCTTAGGGGCAAGATATTCACAATTGACGCGCAATATAGCATCTGTTAGACAAGCCGTCGTCAGCCACAAAATAGAGAGTTTACAGAAGGTTCACTCGGTTCTACTTAAGATTTTTGCGATTGTCACTTGTTACATAGCCAAAAATATGACATTCGTGTCGACCACCTTCTTAGTTACCTTGACTGAGATTCTGGTTATTTCTAGTTAAAATGAGTACTTACTCGTCTAAATCGTCGCTAGTACTGAGTGAGCCGTCTGTATTTTCCTAATTTGTGCCGCGACGCTGTAACGTTCTTCGTGGCGTGACTTCAGGATAGGTGAGTGTAGTTTAAACTCACATTAGACATCATAGGGAGCCCTACCTGCAGTTTCCACGGTCACCGCGACGCGGTAACGTTCTTCGTGGCGTGACTTCAAGATAGGTGAGTGTAGTATAAACTCATGATAGACATCATAGGGAGCCCTACCTGCAGTTTCCACGGTCACCGCGACGCTGTAACGTTCTTCGTGGCGTGACTCCAGGATAGGTGAGTGTAGTATAAACTCATATTAGACATCATAGGGAGCCCTACCTGCAGTTTCCACGGTCACCGCGACGCGGTAACGTTCTTCGTGGCGGTGCCGGGCGCGGCTGGGTCCCCTGCTCGCACGCCCGACTCCGCGCGCCGCTCCCCCCCCGCACACCCGCCCATGCTCGTCATCTCCGGCGGGGAGGGGTACATCGACTTCAGGATAGGTGAGTACAGTGCAGACTCATAGGGAGCCCTACCTGCAGTTGCCACGGTCACCGCGACGACGCTGTAACTACAAAATAGAGAATTTACAGAAGGACAGCTCGCCCCTTCTTCCGATCATTTATGCCTGCATTCTAAGGTCACTACTTTCTTCTTTTGATTTTTTAATATGCTGTACCTGGGTCAAACATACTTAGGTACATTACTTACATTATATCCAACGTACACTACAAAAGTATTGGCACTTGCGAGTCGTAATTATGCCGTCCGCCCGCACCAAACGCTATTGACACTCGCTACAAGCCGGTTCGAACCGACATTGCGCGTAAACGACGACGTGTGAATGTCTGTGTGAGTATACAGACGTTTCCTTGAAGCCGTCTCTCTCTGGATTGGCACTAGCCAATACTTCCCCCCGCACACCCGCCAATGCTCGTCATCTCCGGCGGGGAGGGGTACATCGACTTCAGGATAGGTGAGTGCCCTGCAGACTTATTTAAAAGTCCATTCGCGCAACCTGGATGGTCATGTCATTTCATGACACTATCATTGAGAATGGACTATACACATCAAGGGAAGAAACCTCCACAAGCTCCACAGAATAAAGGTTGAAAAATTCATCAGGGTCAGCCAGGCGTCCGTAGCTCAGTTGGCAGAGCAGTGGGAAAGCTCCCCAACGTCCTGGGTTCAATTCACGGCGGTCGCCGACGAATGTTTTAATTTTCTTAATTTCAATTTGTGAGAATAGACGCGCGATATGACATATCTGTCAGACAAGCGATTGTCAGCCGTTATCTATGGGACACGTGTCTGATATGTGTAGCTCTGTTTCTTCTATTTCATATATTTTATATGGAAACTCGCACGTCTCCGACGATCACTTGTTTGGCAAATGCCATCTTATGTCGAACGTCTACTTCCAAACTGTTGCGTCTTAGGGTAGGTATATTATAATGTATATAAGCAAGCTATAGAGTGCGCGTATCGCCCCGCGCCGTATTGTCAAGCGTAAGTATAGTTCCATAGATACCAACGACAAATGTATGAAATGTAGGTTGTGTCACCTACAATACAATGGATCCAACCTGATCCAACCTACTTTTAGTTTTGTGTCACATACTAATGTTTTTTTTTCAGTTATGATAAAACTTGTTTTAGTATAATTTAGTATCAGCCTTTTCTGATTTTGTTTAGGTACATAATTCATGGATTAATACTTTCATGGATTAATCTTTTCAAAGCAAGCAATATGCACGTTAGTAGTTGATAAAGCTTTGCTTAGTATCCTTGAACCACGTAGATCTGGTCGCTTTACGCTTACCATGTCCCATCTGCTTATATTTGTCGTAGGATATCCGTGAAATCCGGAAATTCGTATATTTCCTAAGCAATACGTGAATTCCTGGAAAATGGCGCAATGTATTGATCCAATCGTCATTTTACCTGTCTGGGGCCTGTGAACCATGTCAGAGATCTACCTAACCATGTCATGGGTCTGTCAACCAAGACTTTTGACATTTTACCTAACCTTGTGAGAAGCGGTTTATATAACCATGGCAGGGGCCTGTGAACCATGTCAAAGGTAACCTACCATGTCAGGGGCCTACAAATTATTATTTTTTTCAGGAAGATGACGAATGGGTCAATGCATTTCGCCATTTTCCGAGAATTCGCGTATTGCCTAGGAAATACACATAGGATTTCCTACGATATCTAAGTCGAAATTCACTTCCGCAAACCGGGTGTGAGGGACGGTTTACTATCGCTAGCAAACCCACCTGGTTACCTATTTAAGGGATCAACATTATTTTGGTTTTTCAAGTATTTGTTCGAAAAACCAGTATAAGCTGGTCCCTTAAATGGGTACAGGCGTGGTCAGACCATGAAACTGAATAACTTTCCTTACGGTGAGAAATGAGTTTCTTTTACGACCCTCCTTACAAATGTTGACGATCAGCTGATTAGCTTAATGTTTCTTGACGTATCCCAACATAATTTACTTCAGTTCAGTAAAATTATTTAGTTTCATTGCCTGATCACACCTGAAAAGCTTTCGGTACACCGTCCTTTGCATCAAGTGTATTCAGCAAGTGTATTTTGACCATACAAGAGATAGTAATTAAGGTCCATATGGGATGGGAATCGTAGGGATTATAGTTGAGAATACCACTCGCTGCATTCGTCTCCGTATGGCGATAATATGGGGTTCCCTTTTTATACCCTTTTGGTGGTAACCCGTTTTTATACCCGTGTGATGCCGGCTTAGAATAGCATCACCCCAATTCAACCCGTGGGTGTCGTAAAATCCGACTAATTGATATTCATCCAGGGAATGGGCAGTAGCGTTCCCTGTAACTGCAACATCTTACACTGCGCTCGCCAATCCGCCTGCCAAGCGTGGCAAGTATGGCAATACCCCCCGACAGGGGGAGGCCCATGTCCAGCAGTGGACTGTTGTGGCTGTTATGGTTGGTGGTAAACTCAAGTGAGAAAGGGAGCCCAATACGGCCGCGAATGCAGCGAGTGATTTTCTCGACCATAGTGATATAGATTTTTCTTGACAGACACCACCGTATAATGCAATTTGATTTTATGAAATTTATGATTTATTCCTGGTTATTGTAATTTAATCCTCATAGTGCCTATTGTTTGATTTGAATTCAAATGTCATTGTTTTTCTACTAAAATGTTTGTTTAATGGATAACCTCGCTTTTATTTCAGCTTTATTAACAATCCACCATTTACGTCATCAATAGAAAACATTTTAGTGGATAGACATACTACTAGTTTCGATGTATTGAGATCGTGCCATGTGTGAGTTTGTCCAAACTGCTAATTGAAAATCGTAAAGATTGAACTATTTTATAGCTATGGTTTGGAAGCCTGAATGGGCCTCAAATGCAGTTTCATTTACATTGAAATGAATAGGTTTTTAACCCATTTACAGAGTTGTATTTTTGTTTGTTTGAGGTCCTTATGAATTACGCTACATACATAGTCTTTTTTAAATATAAACGAAACATACTCACAATACACGATTCTCACTACATGGAACCACATTATCCAGTACCCCAGTTTAACCGCAGCCATTGTTATTTTTTTGCCATTAGAAGAGCATGCGGACGATTTGCGCGATACCGCCTCCCACCTCATAGTTTGGCAGATACTATGAGTACTGCGTACCTGATAGAGCCATACGTTTATACAGTATTTTGGTACGTGACCTCTCATGAAAATGGCATGCGTCGCTTGGAATAATCGTTAACACTGTCCGACTAATATTCATTAAACATCATGCTAACATGTGAACGGTAGTTTCTGCTAACGGTTCTTATTAGAAAATTTAAAAAATATAAAAAGAAATATTTAAAAATACTGCACGATCGACTTCTTTTAGATAATTGTAAAAATAAACTATATACCTATTCGAAACTATGTGAAGTCTTTGAGCAAAAGTTGCCAAGGTTCACAGATTGTGAAAAGTTAACCCTAAATATACCTAGTCCGTCCCGGTTGCTGTCTATGACCATTTAGACAGCGGTCGTCACACAACCATGTCAGAAGCCTGCTAATTGTAGTAGGCGGTTGAAAAAGTCTGACCCCAGGGTTCATCGGGTCGTTGGAGGACTTGGTGTCCCACTCGAAGGAGAAGAACACTAAATATAAACGACCGTGGCAGAAATAGTAAATCTAACAGCTACTAAACGCATGTAGTCATCCAAGCAGTGTAACACGCATAGCATAACCATTGTGACGTCATAATATCATATCACATTGAACATAATAACATTCAGTACTAACTAACATAACATATTCATAATCAATCAGCACAAATGCATCATAAGGTTGATACGTATACTAACTATTTTTCCATATTTGATCATGTATTCGTTGCATTTTATATGTGAGGTGATTTTTAAACAAGTTGGCATGCATAAGTCTGCAACGAGTGGTAGGTATTACACGTCCTACTACTCGTTTCTTTTTACATGTCGGTGGTTCTATGTGAATGGATTCGTGTAGTAGAACGTCAGATACGACCATCAGTAGACTTTCGCTTGCGGAATTGCTTCAAAAATACGCCTCTAAAAGGTCATCACATCAACCATTCAACAAATCATCACCAAAAATCATCATACACCTATTTTTCTTCCCCGATTGTTTATTACGTGAGGTTTTACATTACATTTTACAGCTAACGTGTATATTGCTAATACGATAATCGATTGTAAATAAAGTTTTATCGTAGTGTTAATACGCCGTGTAATTATTAGTGAAGCTATAAAAGTTTTATTGACATGGTAACGTATTTAACATTAACTGACATGTTGTAATATTGTGAATTTACTAAGGACGCACGCACAATTGTCATTATTTATTTTAACACTTATTTATTCAGACCTCAGGCACAGTGTCTTGAGTACTATCAGCAGCATCTAGAGGGGCTATCTTCACAGATGAGACTTACGACGCGAAACGTAAGATGACATCTGTCCGACAAGTGATAGTCAGCCGTCAATCATGCGACGCCTGCATGCATGCCGTGTGATGCCGGCATTGAATAGCATCACCCCAATTCTACCCGTGGGTGTCGTAAAAAGCGACTAAGGGATATTCATCCAGGGAATGGGCAGCAGCGTTCCCTGTAAACGGCAATACCCCTCGATAGGGGGAGGCCCATGTCCAGCAGTGGACTGTTGTGGCTGTTATGGTTTATGGTTAAACATGCGACGCGCGTCTCACGTGTGTAGACGGCGCCTCTTCTGTTTCATGCATTTTGTATGGAAACGGTTTCAATCGTCCCGATGTCGCACGTCTCACGTCTCCGTCTCATGTCTTATGTTTCGTCTGTGGAGTTAACGCTAATTTGAGGTGCTGTTGATAGAACAAGACTGATACAAAGAGGTCGGTGTTCGTTGTAAAATTTAATATACCTAATTAACAATGTAAAAAATTATTGTGTTATGTAAGTACCTACTATTTTGTTTTAATGCGAATTTTTGTTGTAATTCTTGTACTACGACAATTAACTGTTGAACGTTCTTTCTTAGTTAGATTAGGGTTTCATTACTGAAACTCTGTTTTTTAATTATATGACCTCTATCAATACACTCATTGGAGAGGATAACGTAAAGCGTATTACAGATGACATCAGGCACGACTGTACCTAGGGTCCTAGGCGCTCTAACAAATTATTATTGAAATATCTTAACAGGGAAAAGGTATAAAAGCATAATCAAGAGTGGTGCAATTTAACTTCTAGTTTTTCACATCATTATATTTATATACACGTTCTACAGTTAGTTTTCGCGATACCACTTGAAAAAAGATTTTTTATCATCAATACACGAATTATTATTAACACATAACTTGTGGTGTTCCAGCGGATTCTGAGATGGAGGACAGCGTGGTGGTAGCTGAGGATGGTTCGTCGAGCGGGCCGAGTTCTCTGGCCGAGCGGGCTTCCAAGAGCCACCTGATAGTGTGGCAAGTAACGCCAGCCTAACGGCCGCCGCCGCGCCCGCGCTCCGAGACGGACTTTGTGTACGTGTGCGTATCTGCCAAGCCGGCTGACACCTACCACGCTGTTTAGGGTCTAGTTGGGCACATGCGTGGCGTAGACGCGGTGGGTAGTAGCTGAGTGCCAGTAGAACATTGTGGCGAGTATTCAACGACAAGCGAAGTTCATGTGGTAAATCAAATGT